CGAATCCCTGCATGCACGCGAGCGGTACGCCGGGTACGGAGCCCTACAAGTACTTTTGCCTACCGCTCACGCCTCCGGGTCGAAAGCTCCTTCTTCCTCCATAGTCCGGTCGCAACACCTGCAGGCCGCTGCGCAGCTGGAGGGCCGTTCGGAATGTCGCTGCAGATCGCTGTAGCTCATACGGGCCAGCGCCTCGACGCCGACCCCGTCGGCTTCCACTCGGTCGATGCGCTGAAGCTCTGGATCTCGAGGGCTACCGAGATCCTGCCGGAGGCGCAGGTACTCCTCACGCCGCGCGGGAAGCACGTCAAGCTGCAGGCACTCTTGACTGAGGTGAGCCTCCTTGGAGTATTCTATTCGTGCTATTCTGACTCTCGTAGAAAGAAATCTTCGTCTACAGCCGCGAGCTCTCCACCGGCGTCCAGTTCGCTGTCCCTGAACTCGCCCTACCGGAGCCCTTCTCGGCCGACGACCCTCCCGATACCCTCTCCAGCCATACCGACTTGAAGGCATGGCAGACGCTCTTCCAGGCCCGCCGCCACTGGGCCTTTGCCATCCTGGAGAAGTCGGGCGCTATGTCTCAGGAAGCTTCGCAGCATTTTGCAGGACAAGCGACAATAGAAAAAGGAACTCATATTGCTGTTGGAAATCATGACACGCACATCCGCGGCCTGGAACAGAAGCTTCAAGCGGCCAAGGAGTGGTTTGAAGGAGTGGAGAAGGAAACCGGGGACAATCTCCAGAGGCTGGACGCCGACTTCGGACAGCTTGGATCCATACCCGCGAAGATGGACTTTGTGCAGTTTCTAACCAAAGAAGTACGGTCGGCGCAGACCGGTGGGAGGACTTCTGCGAATCGGACCGCGACACTGCAGGAGTTCCTCGATGTTGATGCTGTAAAGAAGGCTACAAGCGTGAGCAAGCGCGTCCGCGAGTCTTTTGGAAAACGCCTCGGTAGCATGGGACTGCAGCTGGAGAAAATTGGTGCCGATTATGACGAGCTCGTGGGCGCCGTGGGCCAAAGCCAGAGTCGGTCATTGGTGGATGATACAGAGGAACCTATGCGACTCTACAACGAGATCGACGCAGTGGCGAAGAAGGTAGAGTCAGACTGTAAGCATGTCATGGGCCTGCCAGCCAACTCCAAGTCGGTAGCTCAGGTCTCTAAGATGGCCCTGCTGCACACGCGGAACTTTCTGCCAGCCATCAAGGAATACAGCTCTGAGATGAGCGACTTGGTACGACGATCTGTAGAGCAGAAGAACCTTGCGATCCAGAACTCTGTGGACAGTATGCGGGGCATTGCAAGCATCGAGTCTATAATCTCAAGCCTTAGTGTAGAGCTCGAGTCCATCAACATTCCATCAGAGGGCGTTTCCGCTTTCGAACTGATCTCTCTAGTCAGTAGGCTACCCTACATCTATGGTACACTCTTAGTGGAGGCCGTCCGGCGACGTGAGTGGATGGACAAGATGGAACAGGACACCTCATCCCTTGCGGAAGAAATGGCAACATTCCAGGAGGAGGAAGAGCGGCGAAGAAAGAGATGGCTAAAGCCTATCGCGGACATTATCAATGTTGAAGCCGTGCAAGGTACCATGCTCGGTTTCGAAATGAATGTCCAGCCGGAGAAGAATACTTGGCCGACTATTACACGAGACGATTTGAACGAATATCTGAGGATTCTTCAGGGATTAGAAGGACAAACCGCGGAAGCCGATGCACTCACGCAGGCTATCAAGGATCTCGACCGGCCTACTAAGCAACAGGTGAAGCGAGCGAAGAACTTCAAGATGGGCAGCGTTCACGAACCGGCTTTTGGTAAAGGATCACAACTTATGCTCCGAGGGGATGACGAGCTTCGGGTGCTCAAGGAGGCGAATACAAAACTAGAAGACGAATTGAAAGGTTCTAAGAGTCGGATCAGAAGATTGGAGGACTTGGTTCACCGCCAAAATCATAGCAAACTCTCCATCGGAGGAGGCATGCCATCCTTTGGTCCCCAGAGTCCTGCAGACCCATCTACACCAACTGCTGAGGTAGCTTCTCCACGCCTTCCAGACGAGCTCTCTCGACGCTCTTCTATATCTTCGCGGCGATTTTCGACGAATCAAGGACAGGAGGACAAGCGCCGCATATTCAGATTAGAGCAAGAGCTGACCGCAGAGAAAGAGATCCGTGCCAGTCTTGAGAAAGAGACGCAAGCTAACAAGGATGGAGATGCAGAGCTCAGACATCAGTTAGAAGAGGCAGTTTCTACCAAGACCAATATCATGGAAAACATGAAAGCGCAGCAGAAGGAGTTCGTGGATGAACGAAAGTCACTAGAAGCGGAGATCCAGCACTACAAGAGCAAGATTGAAGAAGCGGAAGATGAGCTAGATCGCGTTCTCGGGAGTCGCGACAACGAACGTGGTGGCGTCGATACGAAGATACAAGAACTCGTTACTGATCTTGATAAGGCTCGCAAAGAAGCCGCGGAGCAGATCCAGCAGGCGGATGAACGGGTCGCCGATCTCAAAGCCGATCTTGCCAGGCGCAAAGAGATAGAAAGCCAGCATCGTGAGACGTTATCCGTTGCTTTCAATCGCTTATCTCCTGAAACGAATGTCCCCGAGGACCAGTCTGCGCTGATATCACAATTGGAGGGCCTGGCATTGAGGTCCTTCAACTACCAGCAAGAGCTCAAGCAAGCAGTAGCTATGGCTAAATCAGAGAATGAGACAGCGCGCTCAAGGGCTCAAGAGCAAGAGACTGAACTCAAATTGCGGTTGAGTAAAGAAGAGGCCGACGTTGCGTCTCTTCATGAAAAACTTCAAACGGAAAAAGCCAAAAGCCGGTCGATTACTGAGGAGCTTGAGGAAGAGCGCGGACATTTGCACGACCTGCGTAACAAGTTCGCGGAAGGCGAAACGGGGTCAGAATCCTTGAGAAAGCGCGTCGAGGAGGAAGAAGCCAAGGTGCGACGGCTGAATGTCGACCTCGCGGAGTCCCGGTCACATGCCAACAGTCTCGATGTGGAACTCATGCGTCTTCAGAAGAAACTCAGTAAATATGAAGAGGCTGATTCATCACGAAGCCATCAGCGCTCGCTTCGTGCGAAGGAATTAAGTGAGCGCCTCTACGTACAACACGACAGACTGGTTCGTCTTCTCGAAACGCTCGGTTTCGTAATTACCTACGAAGACGGTGCCATGGTGATCCAGCGCGTATCCAAGATTACCAACAGCACTGTAATGGATGGTAATAGTCTGGTTCGGAGCATGGTAACCACGTCTCCCACTCCGCTCAAACGCCACCTCGAGGAAAATTCCGAGCTTGCTTTCCTTCAATGGGCCGAAGCCACGAAGCCTGAAGAAGAGGATCAGCTGTACCACGACCTCATGGACTCGCTCAATCGCCTCAATATCGATACGTTCACCGAGGCTGTCTCAAAACGTATGCGTGACATGGAGTATACTGCACGGAAAATGCAAAAGGAAGCTCGTGCGTATCGCGACAAGTCTCACCGTTTTCAGGCCGATGCACATGAGAAGATTGCTTACCGGACATTCAAGGAAGGCGATCTAGCGCTCTTCCTACCCACGAGGAATCAGGCTACTCGTCCTTGGGCCGCCTTCAACTTCGGAGCTCCACACTACTTTCTGCGCGAGCAAGACTCTCACAAACTCCACGGGAGGGAATGGCTCGTAGCCCGTATTTCCAAAGTCGAGGAACGCGTCGTTGACTTGTCCAGAGCCATCGATGGTGCTGGAAGAGCATCGATGGATGAGCGCTCTATTGCTTCGAACAGCGCTGTTTCCTACGAAGACGACAACCCCTTCGAACTCTCCGACGGTCTGCGATGGTACTTGTTAGACGCCACCGAAGAGAAACCAGGTGCGCCAGGCACACCCGGCCTTGGCAAATCCACAATCGCGAGCACGCGCATCACGGGTCAAGGGCACATGGAGCCCGCTAAGAAAAAGGCATCCAACGACCCGGCCAAAACACTAGGCAAGTCCCTCGACAGCCGCCGCAGCAGCGGAACGAGCAAAAACAGCGTACCCGGCGTCGCGAACCGCAATTCGACCGAAGTCCTTGTGCCAGGTGAACGCGGCGAATCCGGCTCGACCTCGAACACAGCAACCCGAGGTGGCAGCCCGGCCGCTGGCCCCGGACCCAGCCATCTCCGAGAGAGCGAAGCAAGTGGTGCGGCGGGTGCCGTGGACAGGCCATACGAGAGCCAGGACGAGGTGCGGAAAGACCTGCTGTGGGGACCTTAGGTTGCGCCCGTAATTCTAAGCTCCCCTCGCCTCCACCCGACAGTACGCTGACCATACCCAGCAGGCCGGGGGCATCATGCTGAACCCAAATCACGCCGCCCATGAGCGCGAGCATTCACCCAGTAAAGCGCATGCTCCCGTCCTGACGCCCTCGCTAAGTGGAAGCGGTATGTTGAGATCGGCGACGACGCCGAATGCTTCTCCGAGTAAAGGCAGAGGCGCGAATGGGGCTAGGAATGAGAGTGATGCAGCCTGGAGCGCGAGTGCGAGTGCGAGTACAAGCCCCAGCAAGAAACCGCCCCGAGAGCGGAAGGGTAGTCTTTGGGATAGTCTTTTCCAAGTCGATATTAGTTATCAGAGTTCAAAGGCGAAGAAGTGAACGCGCATGATAGTTTGTTCTCTGTATTAATTAGTATTATTATATATATGCGCGCAGCGGATGGAGCCTTCGCGCTCTTAATCAACTACACATACAACACCAGACCATCTTTACCTTCGAATCATAACTTATGCAGAACTACAATCTGACTTACTTTTTCTCTCTATACTCCGCTTTACCTTTGTTTGATGCTTATGTACTAAATCCTACTAATCATCTACTACTGACTCACAAGCCAAAGCTCCAAAAAAAAACCCAGAACCGCAACAACCAGGCATCTCCTCCTCCTATCTCTACCTATCCCCTCCACCTCACCTTCCCTCTTTCACCCGATCAAAAAACACACCCAAAAAAATTGTCGCTTCTGTGGATCGAACACAGTACCTCCAGATACCGCACAGGCTTGCTAACCGAAGTGAAACTTCAGTCTGGCGCTCTCCCAAGTGAGCTAAAGCGACTTGTTTCGATTGATGCAGTATTTGAGGATTGTTGAGAATATATCGTATGCGGAAAATAGGTGGGCGAGGGCGAGAGTGGGTGGGTGGGGAAGGGGCAATATTAGAAAGCCGTGTGTGCCGAACGGAGTGGGGCGGGGTAGGATGACGGGTGGGGTTGGTGCTAAGCTAGTGCGGGATGGGCTGGGATTTTATTGATTGGTCTGTCTAGGTCTACACTTCTGTGCTGTAGATACTGGGTTGATTTTATCTTCAGTTATATATACATGATAGCACGGATTGCGCAAGTGTTAGATTCAGTTATCTAGCTTGTGCTGGTTTGAAAAGAGCTGTTAGATTGCGTGCTCGAAACTCAAGATAATCAAGCTACCTCCCACTACTCAATTCTGGGCTGGTGGATGTAGTGGTGAGGTGCGTGCGGATTTTGTCGAGAAAGGATTTGCTAGGGGGACTTGCGTGGTTGATGGACTGCTTGTGGAGGTGGTTTGCTATGGTGAGGATTGTCTAGTTACAGGACGTTCTGTACTATGTAGGCCTGACTAGCGTCTTCGTGCGCTATGTGTATGTTCGTCCTCTATCCTTCTCGTCCACCCATCTACCCGTCTACATGTCTACACGTTCACACCTACAGTCTAAGCTCTCCGCCCACGGCCCGACTCGCCCCCGCCTCCTTGCCCTTCCTGCTTCTTCCCATCGACCTCCCACGCACTGCCCTCCCAAACACCCTCTTCAAGCAAATACCGTGCCAACTTTCTCCCCACAAACAACGCGAACTTGGGATCCTCCGGGTCCAAGTCCTCAACACCCCGAGCATGCGGATCCCTCAACTCAAACACGTCCCATTGCGGTCCATCACCGGTAACTCTCGATAGCCCTTTGTCAATGCCGGCGTATGTTTCTGTCCATTTGCCCGTGAAGGATATGGTGGAGCGCACGTAGTGCGTCCAGGTGTAGTGGAAGCCGTGCGGGCGGTAGGTGCCGACCTGGATGTTGTCAGAGAATACGTTACATGATGGGTTGTGTAAAGAAGTCGGACGTGACTTACTAGGACTTCATTGCCAACTCGTCGAATGACCACGGATAGCTTGGTTGCCCACCTCGTGCCCGAGACACCCATGTCGCGACGCCATTCGAAAGTTGTAGCCTTCGGGTTGAGGAAGTCGGTCAACGACTCGGAATTTGCTTCGTGCAAGACTGTGGCTACGGCGTCGCAGAGGCGGGGGTGGGCGTGGGCTAGAAGGGGTTGTTCGGCTTGTTGGAAAGCGGTCAAGTCTAGGATGTGCATGTGTCGGGCTGGATAGAATGGAGGTAATTCTTCGTAGCCAGTTGTAAACATGTTTTGCATCACCTCATCATGGAGATCTGGGCCTATGGGGTTGCTGCAGTTAGCATCAGCGAGTTCCTCGACTTGGTCACGCAGCTCTTCTTCGGCCTTGAGTGCGGCTTCTTCTTCCTCGGGATTGATGATTCGAGTTTCTCCTCGGATTGTATCATTTTCATAGGCTGCGGAGCGGACGGTGTCGAAGCTGCCGGCTGACGATCGATATGAGTCTTGACCTAGGTTGAACGCCGGGTTAAGGCGGTAGCGCTTGCGGTCGCCAGAGTGTTTGAAGCTACCGTAAGTCGACTTGTACGTCTCGACGTTCTTTTTCCTAGAAACTGTCAGCTGAGCGACTTACCAAATGGGGATCCAAACACTCACAAGTCCGTGTAGACGCTGTCGTCCCACTCATCATCGTCAGCGTCCCAGCAACTGAGATCATTGACGGGGTTCCTGCCTTTCAAAGGGCTAGTACCACGGGCTGATCGAAACGGACTACCTCGGATGGTCTTCGATGGACTCAGGTCATTGTAGATGTTTGGGTTGAACTCTTCGTCGTCCGCGTCCCAGCAGCTGCGGCTGGAAGTAGGAGGTTTGGATAGCGTACCTCCTTCGATGGTTCTGAAGGGGCCGCCCAGAGCGCGCTTTGGTGGACTTCCCGTGGGTGTGCCTGGTACGTCATCTGTGGGCTGAGCGATGTTGGGTATCGTGGTTTTGGAAGGACTGCCGGTGGGAGTTTTCGAGAAGAAGTCTTTTACTGCTTGCATGATGTCAGAAAGAAGCATACAGTTGGTGGGATAATGTGTTGTGTAGGTGAATTGTGTTGGTTGAGCAGGTGGTGGTTAAGATATATGCTGTTAGAAATACTATTGATACAGTGAGAGACTAAAAAGTGGAAGATTTCGTTGCCGGGAGGACAGCCAGACCGCGCCCAGAAATGATACGAATGTCATATTAGTGAAAGTGGTATAAAATACTAAGTGAATAGCGAAAACATTTCATAGCCTCCTTTCCAAGTTAGCCGCATTCATAGAAGGCAAATGGCACTGACGTACCTAACTTACTTTATTCTACTACCCGCCAACTCAGGGCACTACTATTCGGCCTCTAAGTATACCCCGTTCTGGCCTCTCGCTGTCTAGCTTACTGCGACCTTGACGATTTCATATGTAGCTAGGCCGATAGATAATGCGACATGTAAAAGAAAAGGGGTATCATGATGCTTCATTCCGAGCAGCTGGAAGCTGCCCACCGGGTACCTCATCCGACACCGAGTGAGTAGTTTTTTGGTTACTTGCTACCCTCAACCTCACCCTCTTCCTCCGCCCCACCCCATAACTCCGCGCCCAAGTCATCCAAAAACTTGTTTGCCTGCCCCTTCGATCTCTTCTGCTGGATCTTCTTCCTCTTCTCCGCGATTATTTTCTTGCGGTCATCAATCTGCTGTTTCCGCGTCTCCCTCGCCTTCTCCGTGTCCGCCCTCTCGCGCTCCAGATTCGCCATCTGCTGCTGCCGCTCCTCTTCGTCCTTGGAGAAGTGGAAGAAGCCGGTGCCCCGGTGTCGTGCTTCCTGGTGGCCGTCAAAATGCACGTCTGGCGGCGGCGTGAGTTCCTTGTCGCGCTTCGCAGCGAGATCGGCAATTTGTTGGGCGATGGTTTCGTCGGGGTTGAACGCGTTGGTCTGCACCGTGTCGCCGTAGATGATCTGTTCAGGCATGCTGGGCCGGGCGGTGAAGCGGTCCGGCTCGTCGGCTGCTTGCCCCTTTCGCCGTCGCTCTTCTCGCGCCGCCTGCGCCCTCGTGCCCTGTCGTGTCCTACCGAACTCATCAAGATACTCGACGAGCTCCTCCTCTTCAGAGGCGTCAGACTCAGACGATGAATCGCGGTCCTGGTCGCCCTTCTCCTGCTGCGCCTTCCACTTGAGGTCGAAATCCACGCCATATCTGTCCTCGCGATCTTCAATGTCGCCGCGCTTCAGCGCATTGTACAGTCGCGCCTTCTCCTCCATGACGCGCTTGGTGCGCTTGTAGTTGGCCACATCCTCGCCCTTTTCTTCAGCGGTGCGGCCGCGGTGTTTCTGGGCCAACTCGGCGTCCTCCAGGTCTTTCAACGCGCGCTTCTTCACATTCTTGTTATGCGTCGCGAATATGTCTTCCTTCTTTCCTCGCGCGCGGCCGGCGGCGGGTTTGGTCGCATCGGACGAGGACGCTTTGATGAGGCTCCCGAGCGTGGACGAGAAGGCGAGGGCGCTGGAGCTGGATATCTTTTTGGATTTGGTACGCGATGCCGGGCGCTCCCCGTATAGGTGGGCGTCTTTCGAGGCCATAGCGGTGGTCGGAGTCGTGATAATTCGGGGCAAGGGGTCGTGGGATGTCTGTGAATGGCGCGCCGCGGTGATGTCGGTGGTGCAGCTTGCGATGTCGGCCGCAGGTGCGGAGCTTGGCGTTGGCAGGGCACGTGCGGGGTGAATTGTTTTGCGACCACGGGGCTGCAATTGAGAATTGTGTCTTGCACTTTTTCAAGCCGGCTTTCTGGTCTTAATACGCTCCTTGAATTTATCAAACAACCACAATTCTTCCTCTCTACAGCTGTTCACCATGCCTGTCCCACGACAAGTCTTCATTGCGGTTATCGGTAATCTACTCCCTAAGTTTATTCAGCTACCGATGAATCGCTAACAAATTCACCAGGCGCCGGGGGTGTCGGCAAGTGCTTCCTATCCCAGCTTTCCCAGCTCACCAGCAACCTCGCCCGCTCCCCATCCGCCCCTACCACCCTCTCCCTCGTCTGGCTCAGCACATCCAAGAAAGCCGTCTACCACGCCGACTACAAGCCCCTCGGCAACTGGGAATCCGACCTCGAAGCATCCACAAGCCCAACCCTCCCACTTCCCGATCTCGCGTCATATCTAGAAAAAGCCCCGGGCAAGGCAGTCCTAATCGACAACACGTCGAACCAAGATGTCGCAGACTCATACCCCCTATTCCTACGAAAGGGCATCTCAATCGTAACGCCCAACAAAAAAGCCTTCTCCTCGACGTCCCAGCTCTGGCGCGACATCTTCAGCGCCGCCTCCAACGGCACGGGCGCTGGCGGCTACATCTTCCATGAGTCGTCCGTCGGCGCCGGCCTCCCCGTGCTCTCGGCGCTCAAAGAGCTCGTCGAGACAGGCGACCAAGTGCGCAAGATCGAGGGCGTCTTCAGCGGCACCATGAGCTTCCTGTTCAACTCGTTCCAGCCCGTCGCCGGCGGCGGCGGCAAATTCTCGGCAGAAGTGAAGACCGCAAAGGACAAGGGCTTCACCGAGCCCGATCCACGCGACGACCTCAACGGCCTCGACGTCGCGCGGAAACTCACCATTCTCGCGCGTCTCGCGGGCCTGGAAGTAGAGTCACCCACATCATTCCCTGTGCAGTCGCTCATCCCGAAGGAGCTGGAAGCAGTGGCGTCGGGCGACGAGTTCATGGCGCGGCTCCCGGAGTTCGACGACCAGATGGACGAGCTGAAGACGGCGGCAGAGAAGGAGGGGAAAGTGGTGAGGTTTGTGGGCAGTGTGGATGTGCCCAAGGGCGAAGTGAAGGTTGGACTGGAGAAGTTCGACACAAGCCACCCTATCGCCGCGCTGAAGGGAAGCGACAACATCATCGCATTCTACACAGAGCGCTACGGCGATAATCCATTGA